AAAGGGGGACGAGGAATAAGGGGCCTAATTATCTTGATTACGAGACGAATTAAAATAACTTGTTATTTTGTTATTTTTACACGACAAATGATTTTTCGAACAATTAGAAGATAAAGGAAGTAACTTGGCGAACAACTCGATCTTAGGGGGTCTGATAATTTTTTTTTTTTTTTTTTATTCGAATTTATATGTGTAAAATTTTGGAAAATTTAATGTTCGCTTATATTTGCTTAAATATTCCTTCATTTTTCTTTTTTCCACAAGTCGTATCGTTTTCATCACCACAGGACAAGCAAAACATGTATACATAATCAATATAAATAATTTCCTTTATTTATGCCAATGCTCTGGAAAGAGGCCTAATTAGAAACTGTGTCTTTGTTCTAGTCATTCCGTCAATTAATAACTGCTCTTTTTTTACCGGGGACTCGTATTTTATCTCCCTTTAAAATGAAGACGTAGAAAGTGCTTGACTGAAAACAATTAATAATATTAACAATAATTATTTTGCATGTCAATAAAGATAAAAGATAATTATTTGTAGACGAAATTATGCGCTATTAAAATGCAAATGCATCCACTTTTGCATCTCTACGGTCAAAGATACAGAATTCCGTTATCTTTTCGGTTGAATGTAAGTATTATATAGTACTTATGGTACAGAAGCACAAAAACAGATCGATGACCAAAAATGTTTATTCAAACGAAAGCAACTTGCGAAGACGCAAATTGCTCCTATGATATATATATAAGAGTCGAGGGGAGAAGCAAAAGTCTAGTAATTTAATTTTCTAGCAATTTTACAATTTGAATCAGACTGTTCCCTCGCGTGCATGCAAATGTCCTCTTGCCCTTTTCCAATTTAGATTTCCGTATTGTTTTGCGAAGTGAGGGTGCCGCAATTTATCGCAACCGCTTGGCAGGAAACCAGGGATTCGAAACGGCGCCGAGTTCTCTTATCGTTCGTGCAAATAATTGCTAATTACTGGCTCTGGCTGTCGTTTCGCCGGAAAAGATTGGCGTAGCGGTCCGCTGGCTTGAAAGGAAAAATGAATGGTGGAATTACGCGGTGTTACTTAGTACGTTCAAGTGTCAAAAGTTATATGGGCTATAGGAACGTTACGTTGAACGTAACTTTCAGGAAGTCGCTGGTTGATAGATTGACGTTAAGATAGCGCCAAAGTAACCCCGGGGCGAAGTTGTAAATTCTCTCACGCGAAAATATGCTAAAAAGATATTAAATTTTGCAGCAGAGATTATGGAGTGGCTAATGGACATTAATACATGCGGAATGAACAGTAAGATGGGACAGTTAAGTTACCGCGGCGGAAGCGACGGACGATGAAGAGGATGAGGGTCGATTACGATGTTAATGCGCTTGCGTTAAACCTTTGCATTTAAAATTAAACTTTTAAATAATTGGGACACGTGCACGTTTATTATTCCTAATATGAGCTACGTTTCGAGCCTAGTCCTCGATTATAATCGTCGATATTGTCGTCTTTATAAATTGTCAAAGTTATTCGATTGTTATAATTTGCGAATTTTTGAAAAATTCGCGAGCTTCGGGAAGAAGTTTTTCAAAGTGTAGCACCACCTCGCCGGCAAATTTCGAGTTTTAATACTATTGCCTTTCGCCCAGAGCGAGCTACCGCTTGAAAAAGTCAATTCAAGTTTTAGACGAAACGCGTATAGCTATCTATGAGATATCGTTACCCCATATAGAAACTTTTCACCGGAATAGCACCTATTCGCATCTTTCGCGTACGCCACGAACATACGATTCTCCCTTAAAGTTTACAACGCGAAACTCAATATTAGTTTATATTACCCATCCGTGAGGAATGAGAGCAACTCCGAGCTGAGCTTCCGAACAGTGCTGAGCGCGGGATGACAAAATGCGATGTAATTTTAAGTTATTAAAGGGACTCACGGCGCGGCGCGCCGTCTCAGATGCCGTCGGGATTGCTTTCCACGGCGTAATCCGAAGTGATTAGATCTCTCGGTGAAATTGATCTCGCGTTTTATTAAGCGGACTAGGTCTTTAACGCGGCCTTTTGCCTGAAAAACCTCGCCTCAACCTCGTCGAACGCGGGTTTCTTAAAGGTGCGCACGTGCGGCTCAACGCGAAGTTCGCAGTTCGCAGTTGAGCGTGCTAAAGTTGCGGTCTGAAAGGACTTTGGTAAACGATGTAATCTACCGCGTCTTTCCGTCACCCGACCCGACGCGCGGAATGGCTCGCGCGGAATGGAAATCGTGGAGGGGAAAAGTCGCGTCGAGAATATCCCCCTTTCGAGGATGCAGCCAGACGCGAGACGACGTTGAATGTAGCGTGGAATCTTAATCAGGAATTTTGGTCCTGCCTTCGACTCCGGCGAAGTGTGACAGGCGGATCGATTTCCGCAAGCAACAAGAACGGGGCAAACTCGAGGAGTATTACTATTGACGTGAAAGAAATGCCATAGCATTATACGGAAGCGTAATACGGAGGAACAGGATGACAAAGAGAAATACCTCTCGATCGTGTTTCACTCGACTCGACAAAAAATAGATACGAATGTTATTTTCCGCCAGAAGCGAAAGTAACATCTCGCGACGAGAAATATTTCACTCCGACGCGTCTTTATTTTTGGAATAAAAAGTTCTATTAAAAGACCACTTATATAAGAAACTCGTTGTTTTGCAATCGTTTGTACTAATTATAAAGCAAAGTAATTGATTATCTGTTATCTTCTTATACAATCCGTACGACGATTTTTTATGCTCTCTTTTATTAAATATTTTTATTTATTAAATAAAGTCGATAATTGAACGCATATCAATAACTACTTTTTCACCAAATAAAAATTATTGTCTTAATTAAATTCAAATTACATAAAGGAATCTCCGGTGAAATTTATCTCTATAAATTTTTATAATAAATTGATAAAAAGTAGAAAATTCGTTAGGATTAATTATTGTAACAATTACACAATGTGGAGCTCCAAAAATTTTGACATATTGCCCTATGGCTTCCGTTGTGGCTTCAGTCACAAAATTCGAGTCGTACTCGAAGTCGGACGTAGCAGCGAGGATTATTATTTTTTATGAACCATGTATATATACATATGTGCATATGTGTATGTATATATAACTCGGCAGAGTTGCAAGAAGTAGCAAACTGTGTTCAACGCAGGAGGTAATGCGAGCCAGAATATCCATATATATATATAGTATCAGAAATAATATTGCGGCATGCAATATGTTGAAAATAAAACGGCAGCACCGAAATTATTAATTAATATGATATTAATATAATAAACTGTTGCTTGAATACTAAAATAATAATAAAATAATTATATCAGCCACTGATGAAAATTAATGTGACTCTTTCGAAATTTTATTCTTGATGTCACTAGAAATACCGAATAATATTCATTGTCATACAATTGAAAAATAATGAAGATAACAAATTATGCAAAAAGGTTGAGATACCAGAAATATTGAATAAAATTTA